TAATCCTTTGAAGCCTGATCAAAGAAAGTCTGAATTTTGAAGTGGGGTGCAGTATGTGTTTACATGCAAAAGGAGTTGATACGGGTAGCTGTTTACATGACTCCAGCATGTAATCCAGTTAGAGAGCGCTCTGTCTTGTCAAGAGCGGCTGTTGTTGTTTGTTGGCATAAAAAAATAGCACAGATGAATGTGAGAGAGTGGCACAGGTATCTGTAAGGGAAACGTTTTAAGTGCTCACACTGCTTCAGATTATTTTGGTTAAGGTATATGATATGCGTAGGTTTTTAGGCATGATATTTCCTTCTGATATTCTATATTTGCAGCCTTATTTCAAGATTTCAACAAGAGCTAACAATCTACCCTTACATTATCCTTCAGATTGTAGGTCTAATAGTTTACACAGAGTATTGTTAGTGTAAGAAGAAACATTTATATTTTAGACCCTTTAGATTTACCCTTTAGACATTCATTATAGATGCTAGATGAAAGTTAAAGAATATTTCAAACTGTCAAAACTGTGATCTCAGATCTAAAATGACTCAGCAGAAAATAATGGAAAAGAAATGCACAAATGTCTTCAATTTTCCAACTCATGTGCAGCCAAGAGAAAATGTCTATGATGCAACCAAAGAATGTTTTCATTTAGAAGTCATTTAAAAGAAACTTTCAAAGAAATGTTGCATAAAGAGGGTGACATTAAAAAAAACCATTTTTAAATGAATAAATCTAAATGTTGTGCCTTCCACAAACTCATGCACCTGTGCCTAATTACATGTGCACTGTGGTATTTTGGATCTGAAACACTTTGATCTTACAGTAAAAAGAAGTCAATATAAATGTCAATGGGCTTTAACAGGGAGCAATCTTTCGAAAATGGATTTTCTTTCTGTCCAATCAAACATGAAGAATTTCTTCCATTGTCACAGATAAACTGATGTTTTTTATAAAGCCTTCCAACTCGTCTTCTCGCCAAGCTCTTTCGATAAAATCTCGTAAATAAAACGGTCTGTCTCTGTTGTTATTGCAGAAGGAGAAAAATGTTTTCTTTTGCTTGTCTGTGCAAATATTTCAGTGTGGTGTAACACAAACATCTACAGACTAAACACTGACATACAAAGGTTCTGGCCTCGTGTTGTGCATGAGGATTTGCAATTGGGTTGCTTTTGTTTTCATGTCCTCTGACGGTCTGTAAAGCAGATGTGCTGTTGTCTTTGTAATGGGAAGAAATAAAGCTGTGGCATGTAGATAAATAGGTAGATCATGGAATTGCCAGATGTAAAGGTTCAATGTGTAAGTCATGGCAGAGCAGATTACTGAAATTTACCAGTACCCCTCCCAAATGTATGCCCATTGGCAGCAGTCCTAGCCCTCATTCCTGGTTTAAAAAGCACTGCAGTCAACCATCACAAAAGCAGAGCTGCATCAAACATCCCAATGACACACTGACAAATAAACCCAAGTTCAAAACAGCCCTACAAAAACAGGAGCACAAACGCAGACACTGCCCATGTCTAAAAGCTCATATTTGTTGGAACCACAGACATGCCGTGGTTCCCTGTTTGACTAAAGAAAAGACACACGAGGCATTTTCTAGTGAAAAATGCACTACGAGATGTTTCTCCACACAACAAGGAGACCTGTTTGACTAACATCCTGCCTGTGAACAATAAACGCTTCACAATGTGAAGAAAAAGATATTCTTTTTCCTTCCATCCTCTCCATGCTCAACACTCTTTGTTTTCTCCATATCCTGTTAAGGAGCCTTGGAACAGCTGGTACTGCTGAATCAAAGGTGATTTTAAATGATGTCAAAATATTGCACCAATGATGACAGCGCAAATAATGAAAGCACTAAAAAAGTTCAGCTTTATCTTAACTATTGATTAATTATGCATGAAATATAAATTTCAGATATGATGGAAATGTGCATTGATGTACAGGGAGAAAAGCACTGCATACATACTTTTTTGGTTAGGAGTGAACATTGTAGCAGGGGTGCAGTTGTCACAGGTTTGTATCTTTGATACTGTTAATGTGCACTCAAAATGAGATGCAGTATTTACCAGCAAAGGGGAAACAGCACTACCTGAGCAGACAGCTAGCTCTATAAGAAAACTGGAAGTGCGCTGTCTCCACACTGTGGTTCAAACCGTTAAATACATCCTTCCATGGTTTTCCTAGACATTTGGTTCATTTTGTTAAGAAGATGAGTAAGACATAATAGTACTTTTCAATCCGTTACTTAAAGATATCCTGATTACGATATGAAACAGGATTTTCCTTTCAAGAAAAGGATTATTTAAAAGCACCACAAAATGAGACACTCACTTTATGTAAATAAATCTAAAGAAAATTTCCATATTATAATCACATTATATCTCCGAACTAAATGTTGTTTATGGGATTTTGTTGTTTAGGTATAACAGAAAAGAGTTATACAGCAAACCGGTCATGTCTAACGTCAAAAGAACAAAATGCAACCGCAGTCAAAAGGAGCAGTCAAAGCCCGAGTCCAGGTTTCAGAGTCAAAAACAGACAGATGGTCACTTAGATGCAGCAGCATGAAGGTCAAAATGCAACCTGGTAAGTGGAGAGTGGGGAACTATGTTCTGAGGGATCACCAAAACGAGGAAGTGGACGCAGGTGAGCTGACTGAAGGGGATTAGAACCAGGTGCGATGGGTTCGTGCAGACAGGTGACTAGTAGAAAACAATGGAAGACTGAGGACATCTGGTGGGTGGATAGTGTGATGCACGATGTTGTGGCCAATAACGGCAAACCCCAAGGCAGAATTATGACAAATAGACAACAAGAAGAATGAAATTTGGTGCCAGTTGAGACCATAAGGTTGGTGAATCTACAACAGCATTATAAAAACAGTCCTTGATTACAGCAAATATTGTAGGGAAAAGTGCTACTTATTATTGTTTTGGAAATTATGTGAGATGAGATTTACTGTAAGAACTCTCAGGAGACTCAGACGTCTTACTCATAAAAATGTAAATAAGGAAAATAGATTAAAAGCGAATGTTAAAATACTTGTTGTGAAGAGCCTCAGTTCTGAAGCTTCTTTCTCGAACAGATCATATTTACGGTCAATCTGAATTTCTCACTGTCTTTCAAGACATGTTTGAATCAACTTTCTGAACATCTACATGCTTCTAACCCCAGTCATTAAAAACACTAATCCCATTTCAGATTAAAAGATTAATCTCAGATGACATTACATCAGTTTGACACCTCCACTGTCTCACCAAAATAGGCATTATTTTAATAGAAAATCCTTCACAATATCCTTTTTTATGGTCTGATCAAGTTTTTTAATAGAATTTTCTATTTTGTTTGTTTGTTTTTGTTTCCATTTTATTTTCTATTCTGATATATAATTATTACAGCAATGCAAAGGTCTACCGTGACAGTGCAGCCTTGCTCAAACAGAAAAGTCAGTCGCATATGCCTGTAAATTAACCAGCAAAAATCAAATTCACCTGTGGGGATTCAGTATTACACCTAAGCATTAGCATGCTGCTGTAACAGCCTGCACTGTTTTGGGAAGACTTTCTACAGGATTTTAGAACATGGCTGAAGGGATTTCCATTCAGCCACAACGGCATTAATGAGGTCTGGCAACTGATGTTGGGTGATAAGGCCTGGCTAACAGTTGGGGATGCAGTTAAGCCCAACAGTATTGGATGAGGTCTAGGTTAAGGCTCTGTGCCCTGGCTGCCTGTTTTTCCATATTGAACTGGGAACATCATTTTCATTTTTTTCATGGGTTTGTGCAAAATGATGCTGCTAACATAGATGTATTTGAAAAACACATGCATGCTATACTTTAGCTTTCTTTACTACAAACACAGAAGCTGCCCAAGGGAATGCACAGTCTGACCTCAAGATCTGTGATAAAGAAGCTCCCGTTACATCTCGGACTGAAGTAGAAACCTCCAGGCTGCAAGCTTTAAACACACTATGACATTTGCTGGATTCGTTTCTTGGTGTGCAGGAGGTCCTGGGGGTTTAAATACAGGACAGGCCCCCATTTGTCAAAAACTAGCTTTGGGAAAGTGGCCAGCTGGAAATGGCAAGGGATGTAGTTTAGTTTTAATAAATGTATTTTATTAAACTTTAAAAAATATATATATATATGGGAAAGTCAGTAATTTCAGCAAGGCAGTGAGTGATTGTGAGCCATATGAGTTGCCAGGTTGTTCAAAGTGCAAACGCAGAAGCCTAATAGCAGGTTAACTAGCGGGGCATCATTTATAGGCTGGATGGTCCAGGTGAGAAACATTAACTAATAACCTTAGAGTAATAGCTCCATCAAACCTCCAAGATTAACCGAGTGTGGACCACTGCGTGTTAGGGCATCATTAAAATATTAGCGTTCAAACTTTTTTTTAATGGTTTCAACAGTTCGCTTTCAGTTACTGATTTTTTCATACATCCTAAATTAAATGCTATCCTAAATGTATCGGAGCGTAACTGCGCTTTGTTTTTGGTGAGGGATTTCCTGGCTGCCTGTCTTACTATTGGCATATGCCTGCCCTGGATGATGCGCTTCTCTTCCCAGGCATGACACACTTACTTGGCTGCAGAGCCACGGGACAGAAACACGACGAGGAAGCAAGAGGACAGAGGCAGGCGAGGGAGGTGAGGATGCGGGTAAGAAAAGCGCGACAGATGACGATGATGATGGCGAGGACGGGGATGAAGATGAGAGTGATGATGCTATCGACGAAGGAATGGTCGTAGAAGAAGCGGAAGAAGAAGAACGGAAAATAAAGCTCTGCGGGATCGGAGGATAGTAACAGTGGTGATGCTGATCGTGAGGCAGTTTGGATTGTGAGTACGGGACCGCAGAGGCGAGGATGCTCGGACGCTCGGAGCACCTGCTCGCTCAGTTTTGATCATTGTGCAGGGTAAAACCTCCGGTATCACCGAGAGTTTAACGAAGCGCTATTCTGAGGAGGTGGGCCAAGTCCCAGGAGAGAGACAGAGAGAGAGAGAGAGAGAGAGAGAGAGAGAGAGAGAGCTCTCCGAGGACCTTTGGACTGAGTGCCGGTGATCCAGCAGGGATGTTGTTGTTCTGTTGTCAGTGATGTGAGGCGACATTAAGGAGCTGGTGAAAGGAATCCTGACACATATTCCTACATTTTTGCAGGTAAGCAGCAAATTGCTCTGTATCGCTTTCTGTGTCTCTCTCCTCATCCAAAAACTCTCTCTGTCTCTGGTGATCATATTGCTGCAAAAACTGCACCCTTCTATGGAAAGATATAACACTAAATAGGGAGTTACAGGGAGGGGTGGTTGCAGTAAGTTCATGTTGACCTCTTCCTCACAGTATTTTGCCTCCCACGGATTAACATTATGTAATATTCCAGTAGGTGGACAGAGAGGAGATTAACAAGAATCTATAAAGTGTTAGCTGGTGCCATGTAAGTACATTTATTTTATTACTTGCATGCACACTGTACATGCACTCTAGTTAAAAACACATTGTACTAAAGTTACTGCATGCTTGATCATTTGAATTAAAAACATACACACAACATATAATATATCCTACAGCATGACTTGCAAACAAATGCTGTTCATAAATTGTGAAATTAGTGGTTATAGTCTATAAATTGATGTATAGTAACTCTAATAGAATCTAACTGCTTAATTAGTGGCTTTTACTGCTATTTTAAGTAGTTTTGTTAATTATAATTTAAAGTTTTACATGTGGGAGAGGGCTTTTGAACTGTTGAATTAATTGAAAAGTGTCTAAGTATTAATTCATATTGACGAGTTATAACATGAATATGAACAAATGCTGAATAAATGCATATTGTGAGTAAAATAATATATTTTCATACTCTACATTTATCTAACATCCACCACACTGGCACATTATTGGTGAACTCTGTGACACAGGGGAGAAATAAAAGCGTAAATACAAAAAACACAAATTGTAGGAGGCAATTACATGTAAGGCAAATTTACTGTTGGGTACCACAAACACCGTAGGTCCCTATAGGAGTATTGTAGGCGTGTTGTAGTGATTTTTGGATAGGCTCATCTCTATCTCGCTTGCTCAGCTTTCCTCCCAGGCTTTCCTCCCACACACTTTAACTCCTTTGTTTCAGCAGTGGAGTACAGTAGCCTTACAACCCTGCAGTTACATTAAAACTAACAAAGAGGAATGCTGCAGCCCAATGTCACTTTATCCCTTAGATCAAATACTAGGTTGTGTAACAAATATTCGGGTCTATAAAAGAGGCATAGAAGAAGAAGTACAGATAGCATATAGGTCAACTTTATAAGAGAAATCAAAATAGCAAAAAATAAATGCTTATCAACTAGAGAATACAAAAAACGTGAAATTCCCCAGACATGGTAAAAGTGTAGTTAGCTATGTCCTTGTGTTAAAAGACGTATTTCCAGTTTTATTATGTGTGACATTTTCGGTGACATGTGGGTTGACGGTTTGATCAAAAGAGACTTGCTGTGTCAGGGCTGCAGGCACTTCTTAGTGCTCAGAGTCCCCAGAGAATATTAAAGCTCTGCCATGGGTTATCTAAGTGGTGCCTGTCTCCACTCAGCTATGAAGGTCAATGCTGCAAAAAGCCCTTTGACTTTACTCTGACACATACACTGTAACTTGGAGTAAACACTGGTATTGAGAGATTTCTTAAAAATTTATTTATACATTTTTTTAAACTTATGACATCTCATGTTTGGTATCGTTGTGCAGTGACCTTTCAGGTTAAATAGTTCAGTGTAAATGTGCCTGGAGGTGCAAATAGAACAAAGGAAGAACATGTGTTAACTTTAGGAAATTGATGTTTGCATGTTTGAATCCAAAGATTTAATGAGGATGTGGAAAAATGACAGAGCCTTGCAATTATCATAAACCCCACCAATCTCTCTTTAATGAAGCAAAATATTATTTGTTAGTTGTGTGCACAACAATTTTACAGTGTCTTTCACAGTGGAATTAGATCAATTGATGCTCTTTATCTGCTTTCTATGCTACAAATTACATAACTAATGTCACCATATGTCTTTAAAAATGTGATACATGTGGTTGCGTTGTATGTGATGTATTATTAAGACAACTTAGTGATTTTCCACAGAGGGGATCCTTTAATGCAGTAACAGGGTTAACGTAGATTAAGTGACAACCTTGAAACAAGCGATGAACACTGAGCTCCACGGGGACTGAACTTCCGATCCCCTCACTGTGGGGTTCAGTTCTGTGACCCACCCGTCACAGGAGCTGAACTCCTGGGCTTTAAAGGGTGGCATGGACATTCTAACCAAGGGTCCTGTCTGCCCAGCTCCAATCAGGAGTTGCTCTGAGATTGGTGCCGTACCCAGGACTGACAGGTTGAATGGATGACAGGGCTGTGTGGGCCAAATAGACTGTCAGAGAGAGCTGTGAGGAGATGGATGAGAAGAGGGAGAATGGGACACCGAAAGAACATCAGAGAGAGGGAATACCAGAAAATAGAGCTGAAGAAATGATGGAGTGCTGTTGTGGCTACAGGCAATACCTGATTCCCTCAATTTCTCTTTCTCTAACTGTTCCTGTCCCTCACCCTCACCCCCTTTTCTTTTCCTATCATCGCCTGCTTTTCTCTAATCTATGGGGTATTACAAGCTCTACACAGTGTCTGGAGCTGTTTTGCTACAGAACGAGTGTAGCACCTTAGAAATGTGTGATAGCTACTGTGACAATGGGCCCTACTTTCTGTATAAAACCACCAAAATTGCTTATAAATCGTAAACTATTAGTTTTTAAAATTTAGGAAATAAAATACTGCTAGCAACCAATGAAATGCTAAATGTTTATCAGTCATTGGTTGGTGTATGTTTTATGAATCATGTATTCTCACTCCCAGAACAGAAAATACAGTTATTAAGTCAAAGCTGCCTAAACACAAAGTTCTCTTTAGCATTAAGCCTGTGATGTCCGTGTTGCACCAATACCCAGCCCAGTAAGTCTGGTGTCTAAACCAAACCAGCTAGTAAAGGCACAAATAAACTAAAGTATCAAAAAAATCAAAATGGTAAGTATAACGAGACACAAGCTGCAGGTTTGCTTATCACCATCTTCTAAAATAGTATTGTAATCATTCATTTAAACCACTGACGGTGCATAAATGATGGGTGTAGGTTCTGGGTCTGAAAAGTGACGCAACAGTACAAGCGCCTTTAACGTTCATTCTTTTTATTAAATTATTATTTGCTGACTGAAGTCATAGTGACTATGTCCATCTTTTACATACAGTGTATGGTACCTTTATAATAGCATTTAAATAAAAGAACAGACTCACTATATAGTATTTATTAACAAAGGTTTTAAAAACCACTTTACAATAACCCTGCAGTTCATTACATACAAAATTATTTTTACTATTTAGTTCATATTAACAATTATACATCTATTCATCCATCTCCATGGTATAGTAGATGAGTTTCTGTGTTTGATTACAAAATCTAAAGGATATAAATACTATTTCCCACTCTGCTTGTCCAGTTAGAGTTTTCACAAGCCTTTTATCTCCAACAAACTCTCTCTAAGGACATTTACATGGAATGTTGAGAAATTGGCAGTTGTCTTGTGTTGGCAACTACGTAGAGCTCAGCTCTGTGAAGAAATGACATTATTCCTATTTTGAAATTTACAGCTATAAAAACTGAATATCTAGTGCATTTTTTCCTTTTGTGTGCATTCTATTTAATCAGGGGTGTCAGATTCACTTTAGTTCATTGGCCACATAGAGCCAAGTTTGATCCCAAGAGGGCCAGGCCACTGAAACCATTGCATAATAATCCACAAAAAATACCAAAGAAATGAAAAGAAAACACCTAAATCACAATAATGAACAGTCCATCTACAAAAAACAAATAACAGGCAACTCGAATTGTTTTTGTCTTAAGCAAAATACATGAAATTTCCATAATATCTCAGCAATGTCACTGAAGGTAAATATAACTGTGCCAGCACCAGCTCTCTCTATGCTTTGTGGTCTGGCATGACATTGGTTATGTCACTGTCTGTAAGAAACCAGTTAAAGAAAAAACAAATAGTGAACTAGTAGTAGTTTGTCACAAGTCCTTCTGTGCAGTGTTTTAAAAACACATCCAGCCAGGCTGGACTCTTCAGTGGGCTAAATCTGGCCCATAAAGTGGATTAAATAATCCGGTCCATTTTCCCACTGAAGTAACTTGTGTATAAATATAATGTGTTTGTGTGGGGGTAGTATTTGTTTTTGTCTTTGTAGCTGTTGTGATGAGCCATTTGCTTTGCTTCTCGTTTGCTTCCCTTGTTTTCCTTTGAAAGCTATATATTTCTGTGTGCTTAGAGCTTTTAAACTTTTACATATAACATTTTAAATATGTAATAAAAAATAAAGTGCATCTTCAAAATTTTCACTTTAAAGATGTGCATTGCTGTTGTATCTGTAATAGAGCTTCATGTAAAGTGAATTCAAACATAACTATATACATAAAATTATATTTTGGGGCCAAAGTACTTACATGTTGACAAAAAAACAAAAGTAATCTTTACTTTCTGTTGTCTTAATTTGGTACTGAATAATTTAAAGGATTTATTTCAAAGCACTTTTATGGAAATGCTTGATGGTAGATTGCAAGTTCCTTTCAGCTTTTTGATTTGGGAAATTACAATAAAAAAAAGGTATGGATGAATTAAACTTGTAAAATGCAGTAAAAGGACAAAGCATGTGCTGCTTTGTTGTCTTGTTAAAGGCTGACAGCTAACACAAAAATCCAAGCACTGCAGCATCCATCTATTTTCTTCCACTTATCAAATTCAGGGTCATGGGGGGGATGGAGCCTATCCCAGCTGTCATGGAGGAGAGACAGAGTACACCATAGGCAGGTTACCAACATATCACAGGGCTAACAGAAAACCTTCCACAGCTTCACCCAATTTTTAATCGCCAATTAACTTAACGCCCACCTCATTCGACTTGGAAGGAAGCCAGAGGGAGAACACGGAAACACGGATTGGAACCTAGTATCTTCTTCCTGTGAGGTGACAGTGTTAAGCACTGAACCACCATGCTGCCCACAGTGTAACATGTTACTACAAAAAAGGCAAAAAAGCAGACAAAGCTACACTAAACTAAAATCTCCACTTAATTTAATTGAAATTTAGTGTGCTTTATCAGTAGACAGACCCCCCCTTAATTTAGTTCACTCATCCCTCTAAGCAGTTCCTCTCTTAGCTTCAGCTCATCCTATTGAATGTTTGTTTGGGATTGAAAGTTCTGCTCTCTCTCTCACACACGCACACACACATAAACATAGTCCAGGACAAGACTGGAGTGAGAACAACTCACTATGTGTGAGAGAGGAGAGATCGTTCCGTCTAGCTGCCAGAGTGTGTTGTCCGTAATATCGGTCTGTGTGTGCAGGGACAGTTATATAATAACAATGCAGAAAGCATCACAGGTTCATGAGTCACAAACACACACACACACACACACATGCAGGCTCCTAACACTCTCACTGCGAACAGGAAGTGAGGCATTACAATCTTCCACGTGTTCACGATTTATCAGAATCAGAACAAATTGTAGCGTGACATATTATCGCTTTGACTTGACAAAGACAATGTGTTTGACAGCACGGGATGTGTTTACCAAACTCAACTCTGTCTGTAATGACCTTTTCCAATTTCTGTATCTGAATGCGGGATACAGACCTACGTCTCCACTGGTTCACAGCAGCTGTTCATGATTTTTGAGAAGAAAAAAGATGTTCACAATTAAACAAGCCTGTTGGATGTGTAAAAATAGAGATCCTCCTACATCGGATGGCATGCAATTCATCTCCGAGTTCCAAAACAAGAAGCCTGACCCTCAATAATACTTTTCTTGATGAATAAAAGGTTTTAAAAATGGCTGTGTCATTAATGTCAATAGTGAGTCAGTGGAGCGATGTGATGAATAAGAGAAGTCGACATGTAATGAAACGGAGGAAGTGCCTCTATTGATTAATGCAAAATTTATGCCTGAGGTAAAAGCAGCCTAAGCAACACTAATACATTTTCTGAAATGTGAAAAACATTAGCTTAGTTGTGGTGAAAATAAATGGAAAAAGTAAATATAACAAAGAAAGCTTCAAGCTGGCATCTTGGTGTTTGTTCCTGAAAATAAATTAGCAATACAAGCCTTTATGAGGAGGAATAAGCATAATCATTTTACAGAGAGACTGCTCTAAAGTTAAGCAAATCAGAGAAAGTTTTATCCACAGGTTTCTTCTTGCTTTCAGATTTTTCAAAGTCGTACTTACAAAAATTATCCTTTTGATGCTAACGTGTTTTCCTGGCATCATTGTTATTTTGCATAGCTGTTGCACAACTACAGTAGAAGAGTTAAAGCCTTCAGTATACAGTATTACAAGTATTAGATCCTTGTAGTAAATTACTAGTATTTGCCTTTATATGTGTGTGTGGTTCAGCTATTGATTGGAACGCTTCAACCCTTTGGCCATGTTCCTGAAAGAGCAATAAAGACACACACACACACATTCAAATGTACACATAGATACACTCAAAGGATGGTGTGGGTGGCCACTTGACTGCCTCACAGACAGACAAATACACCTGCACACACACACAGACACACACACATGTGGCCTGGGGCTTTCTAAACAGCCAAGCTCGGAGGTTGCAATTCGCACATCACTCTTTGCTACCTCCCTCTCTTCCTCCATCTCTCAGTAAAGCAACACAGCATCTCTCACGTTCTTTCATTTATTTCTCATTGGCCATCCACCCGCCTGCTGTTTGTTTTCTTTCCCTGCCCTCTTTAGGCTCACACCACACATTTTTTTCTCACTAATGTGCTGACCTTCCCATTGTTCTCTGTCTGTCTTTGTAGTTACATGTATAGCAGCACTGTGTCATACAGACCAGTAGAAGTTGGCTTCCTGCCTGCTGAGATGTGCCAATAGGAAACACTTTGAACAGGGGTTCATGCTGATGAAATTGATCTGCTCAGGTAAGGAACAAGTATGACATATTGATATTCAAAAGCCTGTAAATGAACAATTGTAATGTCAAACTGCATCTATGGGACTTCATTCAAAAGGTGAAAATTTATTCTTTTATGGAATATTTTCTAGAAAATGTCTTGTTTAGCATGCAGCTAAAACATAGCCTAACCCAAACCTGGTCACATGCAGTCTGGAGCACAGTGTGTGAAAAAAAAACACATATAACATAAATTGTCTTTAACAATGCTATTGATCAGTTTTACTCTAAATTAATCAAGAAAAAGGCAAAAGTTATTATGTCGTGCTGGTACCAGACATAATGAGATTTGTTTTTGTTATTGAGGTAATCCTTTGTTTATTTTTAGTTGGATTACAGGTTGAGCTTTTAAACCCCAGAGAACGAGTTAGACATATTTATAGAAGCTCCCCATCTCAATAAAAGATGAATCGCTGTCTTATGCAACAACTCCTGACCACAATGAAGACAGGATGGAGATGGAAGGACAGAGGAACAGATGGATAGATAGATGGAGAAGCAGATGGATTGCTGGATGCATGGACAGATGCATGACTCTTGCAGATGTGTTTTTTTCTGTCAAGGTTGCCCTTCGAGAAAAGGATCCATCCTTCTTCACTCCTGTAAATTTCTCTAGTTTCCTCTAGAATATGACTCGGTTTCTTTATCAGTTTCTCTTTCCCTCTATTCACCACTCTGTTGTTCACACCTTTAATATCGCCGTCATTCTCTCCTTTTGACTCTCTCCCACTTTCTCGTTCTCCTCTCTGATCTATTATTCACATCCCTCTCTGACTCTTCTCTTTCTCCCTTGACACCTGAAATCTCTCCATCCCCTTCAGGGTGTTTAGGCCTCCACCGACAGTGCTTCCCTCCCAGGAAAAGAAATAGAATGATGAATAAAAGAACAGAGTGAAGAGATAGATAAAAAGCTTTGGTATGGGTGGCTCTATCGATATGCCAAGGTATTTCTTCCAGGCTGAGCTGGTAGCATTCAGACAGAGCTGAAAAGGAGAGCATTTGCAATGTTGCTGCAGTTTTTCAACACAGAACTGTTGCCAAAAATTTTTTTTTTCTTTTTTTGCTCATTACTGAAGCGTAGTATCCAGCATTAGTGAGCTTAAATGCAGTATTAACTGCAGTGTTTTTCAATATTTGACCGAATTTCAAAGCATGTTGTGAATTTTTCCATTGAGCTCTTAGTGTCACTGCATTTGGTTGTTTTGAGGATGACACGTGGCAGCAGTTTATCCCTGAGCTTCATTGCAGCTGTGCCCCTGAGAAGGGCATGCATTTCCCAGCTGCCAGTAAAAACATCCACATCTGTCTTCTTTTTCTTGAAGACAGGAAAATGCAGTCAGTGAAGATATTCATGGAGTAAATATATGATTTATTCAGACACTCTTCCGCCTTCAGCATGTCCATAAATTCATTGTGTAGATGTCATAATAAGGTGTTAATGGGTGTATTTTAACCCAAACCAAAACCAAGTACAGAATGAGTACTGAAGCTGAATGCTGACACTCAAACTAATGTTACAACTGAGTGCTTTGGGGCAGGGGCAGGGATAGCTCAGTAGGTAAAGTGGTCGCCCCATGATCGGAAGGTCGGCGGTTCGAATCCACTTAACGGCTACCCTGAGGTACCCCTGAGCAAGGTACCGTCCCTACACACTGCTCCCCGGGCGCCTGCTTAGTGGGCTGCCCACTGCTTCACTGAGTGAATGGGTCAAATGCAGAGAAAAACAAGTAATTTCCCCATGGGGATCAATAAAGTATCCATTATTATTTAAGTCACTGACTCACTGTCACCAGTCTCCAAAGGTGGAGTTTTGTTGCTATATTAAACTGAACACCAACTCTAACTTCCATTCAATGCAGTAAAACAACCAAATTTCAACTAAGATTAGGTAATAAATGACTCCTTGTAGGAAGAGGATGACACCAAATTGAAAGCAACTGAAAATGGCTATTCAATGAGCTGAAAGTATTCAAAATGATAAATGTTAAGAACATTAACTGCTAATGATCATATAATAAACGGCATCTATTGAAATGTATCATAAGGTATAATAATGAAATAGTTAATGGTCTTGAACTGTAAAGATGTAACAATGTCATAAAGGTTATTTGAACAATTAAGCAGAATCAGAATCAGAATCAGAATACTTTATTGATCCCTGGGGGAAATTATTTTTTGTTACAGTGCTCCATTTTAAACCAACATTAAGACAAGACAGACAATACGCTAACTAAGAATAGTACAATATATACATATATATACATACATACATACATACATAAGTCACTTATAAATAAATATTTGGAAAAGAAACATGTGTAGTTGTAGCAGCAAACAGTGTGTTAAGTGGATGCGTTGTACAGGGAGAATTAAGAGAATTTATGTTCTAGTGAACACTTATATTGTCTAAGTATTAAGTGAAAAAGTCTGTGCAGGAGATAAAAGCTAAACATAATCTACATATAAGATCAATGGCATGCGTGTGTGTCAGATGAAGGCAGATCTGAAATAGAATCTTCTTCCGTTCCTCCTCACTGCACACATCGTCTATCCGCGCTTGCCATATCCCTCCACCAAACCATCAATCATCACATTCCCATGCTTTATGGTAATAGGAGGAAAAACTGCATTTAACGGCATTTTACCTTCTACCTCACCTACCTATCTCTCTTTGTCCCTCCATCCATCCATCTGTCTGAGCTCTCATCCAATCCAGACACAGTATGAGGTTGTTTATTTAAATCTATTTAAATGGATATGAGGCGTGGGCATATACAGGGATATTTCACGGCCCGGCAGGTCAGCAAATATCAAAGCTGTTCCAGCTCACTAACCCCTGATCTCAGGGCCCATAGACATTTAGTACATACCACAGGTGGTCAAAGTTATGTCTATAAGTGATTGTGTATGAGAAATAATTATATCTATCTATCTATCTATCTATCTATCTATCTATCTATCTATCTATCTATCTATCTATCTATCTATCTATCTATCTATCTATCTATCTATCTATCTATCTATCTATCTATCTATCTATCTATCTATCTATCTATCTATCTATCTATCTATCTATCTATCACCACCTGAAGAAATGAGCGACAGAAGTGATGAATCATGGCTGAAATTAAAAGGAGTGAAACAACTGCTTCTCTTCTAAGATTAAAAGGCCAAACTGGATGAGGTGTCTTGGAACAGTTTAAAGAATAAGAAAAAACAGAAAGTGCAAGGGAGGGGAGAGGAAGGAGAAGTGAAGGGTAAATGTCTTTGCTAATGTCTTTGGTGCCAATATTGACTAACACTGGCTCCCTCTGACTTTAGTACACTTACTGCATCCTCTTCAGATCGTTAGCTCTGTCATTAGAAAATGGACCTGTTGGCTCAGTTGTTCATTGTCATCACATTGGATGGATGGATGGACGGCTGTACGGACGGATGGCCAGACGGACAGATGGATGGCCAAACATCACATTTTCTTAATGGAAATATGAGCTTCTGAGATTTAAATTCAGTGTCAATGTTCAGTGAGAACTAATTATTTTTTCAAGGCTACTTCCTGACAGGGTGGACTGTGTAACAGTGAAATGTCAATTAACCAAATTTGGAACAGGTGGGACAGTTAAGAAAAAAAAAAATCCATCCATTCAACTTTCAGCTTCCATCTTCTGAAAGATAGAGGTAGATAATCAAGACAAACATTAGAATACATTCAAAAATGGTTAACAGTGTCACATGTAAAATTAGCTAGATGTGTAAAGATTACTTAGATAGTCAAAGGCAGAGGATGTTACTCATCTAATTTCTCACAACAGTCAGTTGTATCGATTAATGGAATTAATGATTGGTGGTTCATAATACAATTTCATAGCACACCATCATGTTATGTAACATCTTGATCCATGGAAATGTTAGTATCAGTCTATGACTGAGTCCAGACAGGAAAGGGGGTGCAGGTGCTGTTTTAACACAATTTAAAACATTGCTTTTCATCCCCTCCCTTAAATTTTTTTTATCATCTTATCCCTCTCCACCCTTTTCTGGCTTATATCCCCTGCACAGCACTTCTGACAAAGAAGGAAAAAAGAGAAAGACCTAAAAGGGCAAAGCAACACAAGGATTTACACACTGAAACCCAAAGAGAGAGTGAGACAGCATGTGAGGGGAAAAGGGTCAGGGAAAGAAAGACATCAGTCTTCTAATTCAAAGGGGAGGTGTCTGTCTGAAATGGAATTCTGTGATATGATGTTACAGATTTTTTGGTTTTTTATTTATCAGACTGCTCCAGTTGGCCCTGTGCACTCATCACTTGCTGGACTTGGTATAATCGTACTTTAGTGACCTGACAGAAAGACAGAAACGCATTTACTGCAATTCAATATAAGTGAAGGATATCAGATACAGTACAAGTTGCGAGAAGCAGACAGATTTAGATGTAATAGATAGTATACAGTTGCAAAAGAAAAAACATTATAGATTTCAACACCATTTCCAAACAACTCCAAGTTGAATTTTCACCTAACCTTATGAGTGTTGTTCGCAGAGGCTAAAAATTGCCCAGCTGGGCATGTGGCCGCCTGTCAAACTCTCAGTGGACACTTCTGAATCTGCTTCTTTCTTTTTAAAATGTCAGAACAATTTCTCAGCTTTTGTCTGTTCAGTCAGGCTTTAAAGGCGATAATGTTGTTATGGAGATAATTGTGTAACAAGAAAGTCATCACAAAACTGTTAAAAAGTCATTTTTTGGAACTCGCAATGATGACCACTTTTTTTCAGTCAACCAAAGAGTTTATTATTGGCAGGTTTCAACAGTGTTACTAATGAAGGTAAAATATCAACTGGAAGTTTTATAACAAAATTCTTACATCAAATTTTCAAATCTACTCTATCAGATAAACTTATCAAATAAAAATAAGAAGAAGAATAAAACATAGATACATTAACTATTATATACATAGTACATTTCTACTC